TCCTCATCTTCAAGATCTTGAGGAATGTTCTGTCTGGAAGGGTAGTTCTTATATGAAACCCCACAACAACATCAACAGATCAGTGGGTCAAATGTTATAAAATTTTGAAAGTTTGCAATATAAAAATATTAATAAACTTTGCAGTAATGTTAATTGCTCTAAATTAAACATTTCATCAAATGATCAGTTTCAAATTTCAAACTGCTGTTTTGCTATTGCCACATGGCGGCACCACTTCAGCTGCTAAACAGAAACTTCACCATTCTTTTTTCATATTGGTTGCCAGTTGAGGGAGGTCTTCAGAAACATATCCCTCTCATATGATACATCAGCCTAGTTTTGACTGCCAGAATAGTAAGATTTGTTTGTTTCCCCTGTACTTTTTCTAGTACAGTGTGCTTTTATAAAATTTATTTACCCATTAAAGTTTTAGTTTTTAATTGAATTATTTTTTTGCTTCTCATGAAGATTAATTAAATATTTTTTGAGAACATAAAGAGGGTAGTATATTAGTTTCTGTATATTTTTCACAGAAGTCCAGAGCAGAAAGATACCCCCAAATCTAACTCCTTTACATTAACACATTGAGAAATTGAGTCCATTAAGTAACTGGGTTAGGACAATGGAGGAAGATGAAGGTGATCAGGATCTAGCTCTTTCTCCCGAGCCAAGCTGTTTCTGGACATGAGGTTTTACTCACATGTGAAGAGACTGAGTACCCAAGGACACCTAACTATGTGCTTCTATATACCACCCAGTGTGAAAAGAAAAGAAAAAAAGGCAGTTAAATTGTACACAATCAAAGAATAAGACCCTGAAGCCAATACATTCACTGAAGATAGTTCATTTTGATCATTTCAGGACCAAGGTGTAGATTTTATTAAAAACAACTTCTGTTTGGCCTTATGTATATTAAATATTCAGATAATTTTTACTTTTACAAGCCCCTGAATCAAATATGGCCACATCATGACTTTAGTGATATTTATTAGCTAAATAAAGTAATCATAAAATTCTCCTAACGAATAAACATGTTTCTGAGAGAAGCATCAGGTACTTTGGGAAGTTTAATTTCCTTGTTTACAGCACCACATGGCTCTAGTACTGGCAAAATCAAACCTATCTCGAATCCAGTGACCTATAACACTGAAAACAACTTTAAAAAGGAATATTAGTAAATTATGTCTTTAATATTTTTCTGAGGTACACACTCTGAAATTTCATCCCTCTACTTTTGCTTTGAAGGTAGAATGAACATTGTGTAGAAAAATAATATTTAAAAATTATTTTACTAAAGTGCTTGCTTCTTTGGGAAAGTGTGCTATATACTTTCAGAAATTAAAAAAAGAAAACTCACTGAAAACCTTTGTAACACTGATATGAAAGGAGGAAATATTTACCTATTTGATCCTGATAGTAAGTTTTATTATGCAAAGTTACATTTAAGGGGAATCCATGAGCTAGTAAGAAATATTTGAGACTTTCCTGGTAGTAATTTTCAGAAGTACATACACACACTGATAAAATACAAAGAAGAATAGATGGAGGTAAAGAGAGGAAAGAGATAACAGACTGAGACCATGAGTGAGGGAAAGGGGAAAGATGAAGAGAACTGGGTTAAAGGGTATAAACATACAGTAAGACAGAAGGAATCTAGCTGTTCAATGTTTGACAGCAGAATAGGGTAACTATACCTTGCAAAAATGCATTATACTCAGGTGATGGACACCTTAAATACCCTGACTTGATCACTACACATTATGTGCATGTAACAAAATTTCTCATGTATCCCACAAATTTGTACACATTTTTAAAAAAAGACAAACAGAAAAAGCCTTCTTTGAATCTTTTCTTGACTAATGTTTTAGAAAGAGAAAGTCTTAAAGATCCCTTAGTGGGTAACTTCTTCCTTTAGGCAGTGGTTCTTAGACTCCTGGGGAGGATTCCAGAAGCCTCTGATAAACAAATGCACTAAATCCATGGATATTGGATCAGTAATACTGAATTACCAGTTTAAAACCCTAAAGTCAGAGAAGTCTGGTGACCTGCTGAGGATCTCAGGGCTCCTCTTACTTGCTTGCACTATAGTTCCTGATTCTGTGAAAACAAACCAAGGAACCCCAACTCTGCAACTCTTAAAATGCATATAGCCAGATGCATATGGACAGCAAGAGCACAGACATTTAAAAACAGAGCAGAAAAAAGTAACTTGAACAGAATGTGGCATTTCCCTTGGTCTGTTGCTAACGGCCCACATACAACATGCTTAAAAAATCCCACCCTGGCACTTATTTTCATCATCATTTAAAAATGATTCAAATGGACATTTAGAATGCATGGCATTAAGCATGTATCCCATCTGGGGATAAATGAAAAAGGGCTTCCTCGAGCAGGGCTGTGTTTTTAGTGGTTATCAGGCTAAGGTTAATGTGTAATCGGTCTCTTTGGTCAAGCTTTTAAAGGCAAACACAACATTTTTATTGCCTATTTTCAGTACTCCAAAGCCAGAAGCATTAACTGTTTCTTTTTGTAAGAAAATAGCTATAGACATGATTTGTAAAATGCCTTCAAGATTTGAAGACATGAAAGAAATATGTAAAAAGGAATTACCTCATTTTCCTTCTATTATTCACTTTTTTAATTAACCCATAAGCCAATCACACTTTGTTTTATTAAACACTGAGGACTCCTGCTTCTTAGCTGTCACCTTTGGGATGGCCGTTTTCTGAATATTGTTTCAATTAGAGTTCTTCACACAAATTCTGAGGGTTGGATATCCTACATATTTATACATACTCTGCACTATAATTTTAAACTCCAATATACTCAGACAAGAGTCCATAACCAGCCAATGGGCTATGAACCTATTTTGATGCTGCCTACTGTCAGCAAACTGTCTATTGATAACTGTCCTAACAAAGTTTAAACAATGTTCATGGTAACACTGGAAAGCTGCAAGAAAGTAATGATGGCTAGGTGAAATGAAAAACTGACCAATCATGGAATGTATTCGTTTACTGTTCTACTAAGCTCATAGCCCAGCTTTTCTCAGTCTCAAGCTTTTGGTCCTGAATGTTACACTGTAGGCATTGTGTTTTAATCATTTCCCCAACCTAAAGATGGAAATTATCCTATGGGGAAAACATCACCTTGCTTTGGCCTTTACTTCCGGAGGATTTTAATGCTTCATTGCTAACCATTATTTTAGTACTGCACACCTGGACACATCGCACAGTATAATGTAATGTATGCAGTCAGGTTTTGGAGAATTTATTTCAATTTACATACAATCCTCCAAATCCTCTGGCGAGCTTGATGTGAAATCTGACACAGCCACATCTCCCTAGCAGGATCTTCTTTTGCTCTCTATGCTAATAGCCAAAGGCTCCTAGGATCTCTCCGTGGAGCGCGGTGGGGCTAAGGAGTCAGGAAGAGGGGTGACTGTGGGGCTTGTTGCGCTAAAGATTTACAATGTACTTCTTGCAGGCGGCTCAGCAACCCCCTCTGTGACTGTGGGTGTCTGGTGTGACAGAGCGGAGAAAAGCTCTCTAATCTCCCAGTGCCTGCCTCTGCCGCTCAGTCGCTCCCCTCCCTCCCGCCTTTCCTGCCTCCTCGCGCGCTCTCTCTCTCCTTTGCCTTTCTCGGGGAGTTTCAGTCCCTCAATGCAGCTGGAGTAGCCCTGGCAATCTAAACCCGGAGCCCGTGTATATACACACACGCACACACGCACACACACATGCACACGCGCTCGCACATACGCACTTCGGCTCTCCCCCTGGGGATATGGAGCAAACCCAGAGCTTCATCTACCTGAAGGGGATGGCC